ACAATTCCGGTAGATCAAACTTCTTTGCCAATTCACAAATTTTCATTTTTGTATTGAAGTCTTTAATAATGGGTACGTTCGTAAAGTCAAACGAGTTAAACGCGTTAGTAACAAATCGTTCGAAAAGTCTAACAAAATAGGAAAACGATGACTTCTTTCTTGCTTAACTCGTTCGACTTTACGAACATACCCAATGTTAACTTTACATTCCAAAGATAAAGTTTATCTTTTCTTGTTTGATGCAGAAGAATTAGTTCTACTTCGTTTGGATGACATAGTAGAGTCTCGCGAGTCTCTGTAGATATAACAAACACAGAAATAAATAACACAAAATAAATTGTAGCTATGTGCGGATTTTGCACGACACATCCGAACATGTAAGCTGAACAATAGTGTGGGGGGAGTGAGTAATCAAGGGTTGCGTGGTGCTCAAACAAAAGACGAATCGACGAGATTTGAAAATTGCATAACTCCGGGTTCACGTAAGTCGGGGTATTACTGTATTACAATTAAGACAGACAGGCATTTAAGGATTTAGAAAATAAATATAAATTTTTTTTACTATTTCTGCTCTGAGAGCCTAAGAAGGTCCATCATAAGTTTAGTTAGGCCCACAATGGGGCAGCTAGTGAGAGACAGGATTCGATAAATGTGGGATAGCATCTCTGAAATATTCTGGCGATTTTCAAGTTGTCAGAATTCATTCCTGGGTCCTTTAGAATGGTAGGCTGACATGTTAAACATTCATCCATCTAGCCACTAATATAAAATTTATAAAAGTACAAAAATATTATTTTTTTCAGTTATACAAAGTTAACATTTATATACATTCATTTGAAAATACTAAATTAAGCAGAATGTTGAAATATTTGAGTGTGAATTTTAACTCTTGACTGCATGTAGTAGCAGTAATTTTCTGTGCTTACTAGGTGTTTTGCTTGAACTTTTTACCAAATGGCTTGCTAGCTGTGCATTCTTGATATCCTCATGCTATGTGCTATCTGACTGTGTAAAATTTTTGGTTGGAAAAAAATTTTTTCTACTTATCATAGGCCATCAAAGCAACCACTGTGGAAAATCACTGCCTTACCTATGCAAATGTGTACAATTCTTCATCATTGTTACACAGTCACATGCACAAGGCATTGTTTTTCTGTTCTAGTATCATTTTTGGCAACCTGACATAATTTTTAATGATGTCATGGAGTCTTACATGATTGCCACAAGAGGTAGATGAGATGTCGTGGATGTTTGTCAGCTATGCGTGATGTAATGACATAATAGTTTGCAATTCACTACAACCTTAAATGCTTGTTTCTGTAAGACTAGTAGCCCGGAATGCCTCCTAGTGGACATTCTAGGCATACCGTGACAGATATACAAACAGTGAAATCAATGGCTTATATAAGTAGATAGCCTGAGTGCTATGATATTCACCAATATAAATGTTTTCATGGCTTTACTTTGTGCCTGAAAAATACAAAAATAAAGATTATTTTCTGGTTCTTCTGAAAAACACCTCAGGCCTTCCATTATTTCCAGTTGAACTCATTTTATATTAGCCCACACTATTGCAAATTTTGAAGGGATTCCTATGGAAGTAAGGTCAAGGACATTGTTCTGTAAACAAAACAACATCTCAAAAATTAAACAAGGTAGTACATTGAAATTTTCCACTTGCAGAGAAGACACATCACAACATTTTTCAGAATCAACAAAAGTTACATACAGCATAGTTAAGCATGAAAAATCAGCAAAAAATCATCATCTTATGTGTGTGATTATATGAAAAAACTGCACATGATCACAAATTAATATCGAAGAAAACTATTTATTTAGAATACGTTTAAATGAACAAATTGAAATGTAAATGTAGAAATGTTAGGTTATTTTTTGTATATTTTTAGGCAATTTTTTCAAATAATATCATCATGGTTCTTGTCGCCTAAGGATTCTTCTGAAAAAGTTAACCGACTACAACTGATTGTATGTCAATTATATCAAGAAAAGATACCCAATTATATAAAGCATGGCTTATTATTTGTTCTTAAAGATACTAATTCAAAAGTAAGTATATCTTTTTATAAATATTTAAAAAATGAATTTTTTAGTTTTTTATTTAAAACACTATTTTTAACAAAGGTTTAAATTAATTTTTTATGTTGTAATTAGTATATACAAAATAATAATTATTGAGCAGAGCTCTGCATAAGTCAGAAAGTATTTTGTCTGTGATTAAAGTTTAAAGCAACCTTACAATCACTAAACACAATGTTTTTGTAAGTATTTACAACTTGCCAAGGCTGATGTCGTGATGAAGCCAGAATTTTGAAATGATATCTATGGGATGAGATATTCAAGATCAACGTTTGCAATGTAAAGTCTATGGGGCAGTTTCCAGTTGTAAACTGTATGTTAATTGAGTTTCTGATTGCCGTCAGTTTACATTGATTTCTATGAAAAGTTTTTATTTTAATCTTTACAACAAGCATTTAATATGCATAGCCTGAGCTTCACATGGGCTATTTTAACCAGTTGCTGGAGTTGTTAGACCTCTTGCCGCACATGTGGGTGTTTTAAACATTTCTTGACAGTTTTGTTAGTTACGACATTACACGCGCAAGCACTGCTGGAACCTGCATTTTTTAAACTGCTTTAGACAGAATGTTAGAAGCACATTGCCACATTTGTGTTTTCTTGTGAAGCCAAAACAGTAAAACCTATGCCTCGAAGCTCAGTTTCATTTTTCTTAGAAAATACCTAGTTAAGTATATGTCTAAACAACCTATTAGTGTATATACAGGGTGGTCCATTTTAACCATTCCAATGGAATAACTCGAAAAATACACATCCTACAAAAACATTGTTATAACAGAAACTAGAAATTCTCTCATCAAGCATGACAGGATACTTTTTTGATGAAGTTATCGCCAATCTGTTTTGCTCAAGTTGAGCTTAATGTTGTGATGCTGTTTCTGCAGCCCTTGATCCACATTCTTACTCAATGTGGCTCAAGTTGGGCTTCATAGCCTTTGGGGTCTCGGTTGTTCTTATTTGTTTAGATCTAGAATTTACCTGATCAATTTTACTCTTATTCTTTCCCAAAGCATTTTTTTTCTTTTTTAGGCATTAAAGCAATAACACCCTAAATAATGAGCTCATTAGATCGGTACTTCCAATTAGATAATAGAATGTCACATGGTCACTATGGAAAGATTCTTTAAAAAATTTATAGAAGTGACACAATGCAGCTATCTTTTATATGAGCAGTACACTATACCATATACAAATAAGTTTGTCTATGCACACACTATGATTTCCACTTAACAACAGACTTGCTTAATACCATGTTTCTTGAACTTATGCATTGTTAAGTGGTGCACAAATATATCCTATCCTGCTCTATTATTATTTGTAGTTTCACTGATAGTGACTGAAAGATTAAAATATTGAATAAGATTAAATTAAACAAAATATCTAAATAAATGATTTTGTTAATTTAAATATCTTTACAGGAATTATTATCATTATTGCTGCCATTTGTGAAATCAAGATTAGACACACTAGAACAAGAACCAATTACTTTGGTCGATTACGAGATGTGTAACCTCTTATTATCAAAGTATTCTCCTTCCATCGCAAATGTAATTAATTCAATTGATTGCGAAGCTTTTATAATATTAGAAAAAGCCTTTAAAATCTCAAAAGTATGTGAAGAAAATAATAAAAACATTCAGGAAATAACCTTCAGTATTGTAAGTATATTAAAAAAATTGTGATTTAAAATTACTTATTTATTTCATTTGAGTTATAGAAGTATTATTAAATAATGTTATCCATACTGATTAATAACTTTTAATACTCAATTTAATAAGTTTTGTAATTCATCTAGATAGAAATTTGTTATCTGTTTGCATGTGCATATATCAGTGTTATGACTAAAGATTAGGTCTATTAGATAACCAAAACAGGAAAGAATCGACTACAGGATTCAGGCTATGGATTTGGAAATACTTCAAAAGTAATCTCAGATATATTAGATCCTGTTCTTTGCCCTCAATTTAATCTATTGTCATCCAGTTTGTTATACTAGACAAAATTAAAGCTGACTTCATAACTTGCAGTATACTAGTATATTATGTCAATAAATTCATTAATCATCCAAGGATTAGTTACTTGAGAAAACAAATTAGTTTGGGATTAAAAGGCAAAACACTACATACGTTTTTAATTATAAAACATAAAAGAATGTATATATTTATATAAGAAAGTATGTTTTTAAATTATACTTTCTTTTGTTCTTTCTCAACTAAACCTGGTTTTACGTGCTAATAAATGACAAACTTACATCTAGTACAATGTTCTCAGGCTTAATGTGAGGGGAAGGTGTGTATATAGAACCATAACTGGTGATTTCCAAGAGGTACTTTGGCAGAAAAAGACCATCCCAAGACATGATCATGCCAAAGGATGAACATTAGTGGAAGAGTTGAAGGAGACCAACAAATTTACAATGTAGAAATTCAAAAAATGGAAGTTTCTATGTTGTATGATAGTGAAACCAAACAAAAACATCTGAGATGCAAAAAAATTACACCAAGTAAAAATTTATGACAATTTAGACCACAGTCAAAATTTTTCTTTAGTGAAGATAAGCTTGATACTTGGAGGCAAAATGTAGAAAACAATAATATAGGTAAAAATATTGTGGCTACTGCTTTCAAGTGCCAATCTTTACCAAAGAACAATTTGGTAAGAAAAATTTTGACTGTGGTCTATCCACCATATCCAACCCGCAGCCTGCAGGCCGCATGCAGCCCAGTCAATGTTTTTGTGTGCCCCATTTAAATCCGTAATTATCTTGCATAAATTTTTATTACAATAAATTATCACATGTATAGTTAAATACATTAATATGGTGTATAACACCTTATCACCTATACTTCGAAAAACATCAAATGTATTACATATACTATATATATGTAATACATTTGTATGTATATGTATGTACTGTACATACTGTATGCATATGTATTTATTCAGTATGTTTACAACAAAAGTTTTAAAATTTGTGTTTTGGTATATGGCAAGAAAAAAATAATTCTTTGAAGCATTATCAAATTCATGATTATCTTCAAGAACTGGAATCTGAGTACAGTGATTTGCTTTTTTACATGAAAATTCAATGGTTAAATTGTGGAAAATGCTTAGAAATATTTTGGAATTTGAGGGAAGAAATTTGTATTTTTAGGAGTGAAAATGATTAGAATGTTCCTGATCAATGATCAATTTTGATAAAACTTTGCCAGATTCCATTAATTGAGATGAAGAATCCAGAAATGCAGTGTGGTCCATCCAAAAAATCCAGCAACCAATTGCTTAACTTTGCTGGCAGCACTTAAAATTCTGGTAGCACTATGTTAAGATATTTCATTAAAAAATACTGTTTACATTTTTAATTATTATAAAATGGCAAAAAGCTTAATTTTCAGGGTAGGGATTGGTTTTATAAAAAAATTGTAAAATACTAATAATGAGTAAAATTGTCATTAAGTCCGACCTTACTTGAGATATAACAAACAACCACCCTTTATCTTCTCACCCTATTGACCTTAAATGACCAAAATTTAATAGCATGAATCTTTCTAATATACAAACCTTCCTGCAAAATTTCAGAAATTTTTGAAAGTGCAAGAGTTATTAAGCTTCAAAAAGAGTAAACAAAATCGTGTACCCCACAAACACACACATTAACATCCATACATACAGAAAAAAACTGAATGTTTTTGCATCTCTCGATATTTCAGAGTCCCCTAAGTCCAAAAATGTAAAAAGTCTTGGGGGGAGGGGGTCAATTTTTGACCAATTACCATACATTCCCTCTGTTATCTATAACAGAATCAGGAAAGTAAAAATAGGAATCAATGACTTAGTTTTACAATATACAAAGGTATTACAGTGGCAATGTCCATGCTCTCTAATGCGACTGAGCATGTGTAATGGAATTTAAGCCTAGGAGTCAAATAAAAACAGTATTACGTGTGGCTAATGGGAAATAGACACAAGAACAAAACAATTACTATCGATTGCTTTGTTCTTGGATCGTCTCTTTGTGCCTGGCCAGTGCAAGGGTTATGTCTCCCATGGCCGACAAGTAAGAGAATAGCCTTTTTTGTGGCGGAAAGTGCAAAGTTCACCCGTCCGCATTCATCAGATACTGTACAGGAATTGCCTCTTCTGTGCAGAGGTGCACTCTTTCTTTTTGATTCTGCTTCAATTCTATCACAATACGACAAAGTTGCACAATGTCTTTGTGGTAATTAAAAATATAAAAAGTTTTTAAAACAGAATCTGATAACAGATGGCACCAAACACAATTTTATTTTTTGCTTAATAATTTAGGTTTTTTAAAAATAAATACTCATAACATCCAGGAAATTTACGCAACTCCCATTGCTAGATTATTTTTTTTTAGTTACTATGAGACTAAAGATTAGTCTAATTTCTTATAATAGCAATAGTTCCATAAAAAAAATTTAGAACCTGATTTACGTGTTTGGTATAAAAATATTTTATTTCTAAGATAGCTTAAAATTACTGATTATTATTAATCTTTATCTTTTTGACTTTCAGTTTACTAAAGATTTTTTCTTTAACATTCCATCAAAATCTGTCCAACAAAAGTTATTTTCCGAATTAATAGATTTCTGTCTGAATTGCATTGAACTAAAGTGTAAAAATTCATTGAGTAAAATTATAAGAAAGGTATGTAGAAATTTATTATGTACTGTTTTTAAATATTAATATATTTTTTGATAAAATATTTATTTTTTTGTGTATGTAGTTATGCTATGATGCCAATTTATTGGTTAGCGAATTGCAAAAGTTTAATGAAATATCAGTCACAACAATGAAGGAAACAAAAGGATTAAGGTACAAAATTAATAATTTTTTAATAGTAAACACTAGTATAATTTTTACAACTTAATTAATTTAATGTACTTTACACTTTCTGGGTATCGGCTGGAATGGATAATGATGATGATGATTAATTTAATATTTGTAATTTCTCTTCTATCAAATGATAAAATAGAAATTTATAATTTTATTTGTATTAGTTAGATTTTAATTAATTAATCAATCATCTGTTATTTATGTAGAGATAAACACAAATTAGTCTTCTGAAAATGTTTAAAACACATGAACATATTTGATACATCATTTATAAATGATAGCAATAGGTCTTTGTTTTGCATATATTTGGAATATAGAAAATATTTGTAACCTGCCTACTAATTAATCCCAACCAAAAAGTTTTGGCACCACTTTTCTAGACCATTGATAAAACAGATATGGAATCAAAACATAAATTAAATGAACTATTTTATATGTCAGATTTCTCAGTAAAGAAATATAATGAGACAATTTTATACGTTTTTTTTTTTATAAAATTAATAAAATTAATTTTTCTTTTAAAATAAAAAAANGAAAAAATACATACTTTTGGTAAAGAAGGGAGGTGTGCAGATAGGATACTTGCTAAAGTTGGGGAAAAGGTTTTAGAGTAAGCGCGCTACATACAGGAGATGCACAACCACAACAGGGGGTTAGGGGGTCCCTTCTTTACCAAAAGTATGTATTTTTCGCCCTTGGTATCGTATACCTATCATCGACGATGACGTCACTGGTAAGACGATACCTGAGTAAACATCGGCAGCATTTAAACTTCTTCTAACCGACGCTCCACAGTGTACCCAAGGAAGGCCTATTAAGAAGGCCGAAAACGTTTGTACTCTTGTTAATAAGGCTAGAAATTAGTGAGAAAGGTTTTGTGCTGATAATCTGATGGAGAGGACATACCTCTGAACGAGTGAGTTAGATGTTCAGTGTTGAGTGTAGTGTGTCCTTATTGTTCATGTAAGGAAATCCTTACATGAACAATAAATTACATGCTTGCATTGGACATCTGAGTCTATGTTTCATTTGAAGGAACCAAATACAGTAATACCTCGAACTTACGCGATAGGTGGGACCAAGCGGTAACCGCGTAAGTCGAATTCGCGTAAGTCGGGGTATAATTTTGCATATAAATACATACAAATAATTTTTAATTGGAACCGGAGACTAAAGAAAACAATAATTTAGAAAAAAATGTTTAATAAAATCTTAGATAACACATATGTATAACAAATTAGGCCTATATTATTTTACAATTTTTCACATTTACTCGATTATTACGCCATAATTTTAACATTGTTTCCATCTCAGCGATAATACTGTGACGTTTACGAATGATGATTGAATTTAAAGATTGAGAATTTTTTGCAGCTTCGAGAATTTTTCTTTACCTTTTATAGTTGTTCTGACCGTCGATTCCGGTAGATCAAACTTCTTTGCCAATTTACAAATTTTCATTTTTGTATCGAAGTCTTTAATAATGTTAACTTTACATTCCAAAGATAAAGTTTTTCTTTTCTTGTTTGATGCAGAAGAATCAGTTCTACTTCGTTTGGATGACATAGTAGAGTGTTAAGATTAATCATATTCGTTATTGTAAACCGCGCTTAAGTTAGGCGCCATCTATTCATTTCTTTTGTATGTCCGACGATCAAAAGACCGCTTGGGATCGA